AAAATACTTAAATAAAAATACATACCAAGAACCAGGTGCTACAAAGGACAACTGACTATGTCTTAATCCATACTCTCGGATTAATGACAGTTGACTATGTCCAATCCATACTCCCGGACTAAGGACAATGACTATGTCTAATCCATGCTCTCGGATCAATGACATATACTAAAGTTCTATTCTCTGTGTATAACTCACTCGTACTCGTAAGAAAAATACTACCCAATATTGCTCATAATTAATTTAGGTTTACTCTTTATCCTAAATCATCATATATAATCAGGTATGTTCTTTAACACGTATTTCAGGCAACATCAATTAACTCGCACATAAACATATAATTAATGCTTCAATCAATACTTGTATTAAAATCATGTTCATGAAAGGGACTATGCACTCACTTGATAAGGTGGTGACTCGGTACTCGGACAGTGCTTCGTTTACTTTAAAATAATTTCCTTCGACGAAACCTAGTATTATTACCACTACATTTTAGTCTAATATTTACCGTGACTAATTATTATTAGTCTTATTATTATTATTATATAAGCGTTTAAACAATACTTTCCAACCACTATGTACAGACAGAGCCAGACATAAAACACCGGGGGGCAGGACCATTTTGGCATATAGCACTTCTGAAATCCAACAACCCTATGCGGCCCTTTAAACCAGATTCCCCGTACCACGAGTAGTTAAAAAGATATTATAACGACACTTATATAAGTCATAATAATAGCTCAAATATTTATTATAAGTTCATAATAACAATACTAATTTTAAATATAAGTTATATTAAAATAGGTAAGCATAACTTACTTACAAGGGGGTTTTAGCTAGGAGTCGGGCTCTGCAGGGGCAGAACTTCGTCGCTGAATCTTTCTAAGAAAGATTCGTGCAGCGCTTCAGCGCTCACCTTACTATGCTAAAACTACAGAAAGAGAAGTCGAATCACGAGGGACCGAAATGCTCGGGGGATAAGAAGAGAAAGACTCTTGAATCAAGAGAATGGTGCAAGAAATATGAGAGCCCAAGCCTCTTATTTATAGTAATTGAATTTACAAAAACTACCCTCCATAATTACTTAATGACCTTATAGTTATATAAACGACTAAACACCCCTTCATAATACTATTTTAAATAGATTTAACGATATTTGTACTAAACTAATGTCGAAAGTACTCAACACTAGTCTTATAATAACCGCATCGTCGATACCTTTCTAATGATATATACATTTGGATATATATATGTGTACGTATATATGATTAATACGTAAATATGCTATTATAATTTGTAACTCATTCATACGAACTCCATTTTTGACGTTCTTTATATCCACGCGTTGGTATTTACGAGTACTACAACTTTCATTTAGACGCCGTCAGCTAATTCTCATTCTATCTCAGATTTACAAAACTGTATCAAATTTATCGCGTTTGAAGAGTAGGGACCAAGTTTCGTCCATATCTTTAACATACGAGCTGTACTCTCGACATTCTTTATATCCACGCGTAGGTAAAAACAAGATCTAAAACTTTCATTTAGACTCCATCGGCTAATTCTCGACCGATCTTAAATTTAACAGTAGGAATAGATTATACTGTTAAATGTCCGCATAAAATTCATAACTTCTACATAAGGACTCCGTTTTCGTCTGTCTTTTTACCGTTGAGTTCCTATTAATGAGATCTTCAACTCTCATTTAGGTCGTGTAAGCCAAAAACCGCTCGAACTAAAATTCGAGTTTCGGGTCGTGCACTGTTATGCCAAATCTTAGAAAATTCATAACTTCCTCATACGAAGTCAGATTTGGGCGTTCTTTTTTTGTATGTTCTCGTTTTAATGTATAATACAGATTTTGTTTAGATCAATAAGGCTAAAAAGTCTTCTACCGTAAATTCACTATTTATGTCTCCCGGTGCCGTGCCGGTTTTGCCGTAAAACTTCGACGGGCCATAACTTATTCGTTATAACTCGGATTTCGGCGTTCTTTATATGTACGGAACCCTTGTAAAATATACTACAACTTGGTTAAGATTAATCCTTATAAATAATCCTCCATCAAAAACTCATTTTTTATGCTTATCATTTCTAAATTGACTAGCCTGGATCTGCGGGCGTTACAATTATCTCCCCCTTAGGATGATTACGTCCCGGAATCATCAACGAAACAGGACTCACATGATGACTCCATATGTTATCTCTTCATCCTAAGTAATAACCGTAACTTTGATGTTTCTTCGAACGAGTATCTAACTCTAAGACTTCCTGACTGCAGGCGGTGCCCGATCTTGGACCCGCTCCCTATCTCACGTTGGACTCCAATTTATGATCTTCAAGTCACAATCTCGATCCTTACTGGAGACTCCTTCTTCTTCTTGACAAACTTAAGAATAAATTCTTTGATTTCTATAATAGATTGATGTGCCTCGTTCTAATGACCTCTCGTCGTATGTTGCAACACTTAGACTCAGGTCTCTTAGAGTCAAATTCCAGAACAGACTATACCTTCCTTCATGTTCTAATGTGATTTAATCACATCGTAGCACGTAGCACTTCTAACTAGAAGTTTCTTACTTTAACAACGATCACAATCGCTTTGACTATCTTTTACTTCAATCTTCTGGCTTAAGTCGGATGCTACATCAAACTTGGCTCTCTGAACCACGTAACATACTCATCTTAGTCGGACTCGATATGATATGACCTCTCGGGTCAGAATAATAATCATCTTCTCAATCATTACCGAAACAATGGTAACGACATACTCGAATAAAACGAAGTCAATTACTAGCTCCTTAGTAACCTTGTGACTTTCCCTAATCCAAGTGTGAGTCCTGTGCTTCCGGTAGTATAGGCCTCTACTGCCATTCACACCTACTCATACTCGTCCCAAGTATTGTCTCGCAGCTTTCCAAGTTACTATCACAAAAACAATTTTAACACATAAAAATGTGTCTAATCAATCATAAAATTTTCCCTAGACTCTACTATGACTTCTTCCATGCGTATCTTCAATCATCAATTCTACTTCAATTCGGTTGGTGATGGAAATGTCAGACGATGGAATAACTTCATGGATTATACCAAAAATCTTTCTTTATGCAAATCGAAAGTTTACTTCTCCCGTACTAGATGTATTATTTATTAGATGCATTCTAAAGGCAAGATACCACTCTTATGATATCTTCCGATAAGTACCATTCAGTATCGTAAGCCTTCTCATTTCCTCCATTTACTCAATTCGCTACAAGTCTTCACCATGATGTTCTGTACACCAAAACAATCGTTTGGTGTATTGAGACAAGAATAAAGATAGAGGAAGGTTTAGACGCGTATTCCTCCTTATTACCTCGAAAAATTATATGTAAGTTCTAATATCGTAATTAAACGTTTAGAAATCTGAACACATAAAATTTGCAGATCCGGTCGGCAACAGACCATAGATCCGATCAAACGATAGCATAAAACATCACAAATTATTAAGCACATAAAAGCATCTTAGGCATCTTCCTTAATTAAGCTAGTGCTTATGTCTATTCAGGCGTACTTCCTAAAATATATTAGACACACTCCTCACGATCATCGTTTAGCATTCTAAGTTTTAAGTCTAGATATTTACCAAAATTGTATGGTTTTAAAAATATTTACCAATTTTATACAAAATCAAAATTAAAAGGTAAAATAAAAAAGAAGGAAAATTGAATTATTAGGGTAATTACATATTTCGTTTTGTTCACATTTGGATAAAAAAAATTTATTACATATCTAGGTAACAAATTTGTTAGAAATGTTCACATATGACCATTATGACCGATTATAACTTGCTACAGTCGGTCATAATGGTCATATGTAAACACTTGATAAGAGAAATTACTCAGATGTGAACAAAACGAAAAGATAATTACCTTGATAAGTCATATTTCCTTTAATTATTTATCGTGTTCTCAATTATACCAAATTTTAGTCTTTAACCTTATAGTTATCATTGACTTAGAAATATGATATTAAAAAGTCAAAATTCAAATTTCACTCTAAAATTTGTTTTAACTAAAATCATGTCAATAGAAAATATGAGTCCAGAAACCTTACTCAAGTCTCCATCATTTCTCTTATCTTCGTTATATTTTGATAGAAAGATAAGTTTTTAATGTAGTTCCCATGGTCAACTTAGAATGCCGCAGAATATATCCAATTATATGAATTATTTGCAGAAGAAAAAGAATATACTCAATAATATGAATGATTTATAGAAGAAATAGAAAAATAAAAGTAAAAAATAAAATATAAAAGATCTTTTCTTTATGGATTGCACCAAAAATCCACCACCCAACCAGCTAAGAATTTCGCAAATCTCCAAAAAAGGAAAAAGAAAATAATGTTAAACTAAGAAGGTCGGTCTTAAATTCACATGTAGCTGATCCCGAACGCTGCAAATTGTGGTGGGGCAGTAATCAGTTCATGGTCCCATCACTCTTTCTATAATGAATAGGGCCCTAATCAATATCATAAAAGTTAGGAATTTCATTTTCATGAGTCTTTTATCTTCTAATTTGGCTTTTTCCTGCTGATACTTAAGTATTGTGTCTCTGAAGATTATGGGTTTGAAGAGGTGTTTATGGAGGAGATAAAGAAATAATCAACCAGAATTTTTCTTTTGTTTTGGCAAGAGGGAATATAGTTCTTTATTGACCCTTATCTTGTTTTCTGCTTAAAGATGCTGCCTTTCTCTAGAAGAGAATCGAAACCTGCGGTGAGCTGTTCTTTTTCTTGATTTTTTCTGGGTATCCCACCTTTTTTCCTTATGAATTTGATATATACTGTTTGATACCAAATGGGATTTTAATCTTTTTGACTCTTTTTGGGGTTTATGTTCTTGAATTATTAGGTTGAAAGGTTGAAACTTTGTTGTAATTCCCATGGGTTGATTGATTCAAGGATCTTGATTCTTTAGAGTTCGCATAAAGAGGGAAATTGAAAGAAAAGAATTGTGAAAAATGTCATCTAGATCGACAAGCAGAACCCATTGTTCGAGGAGCAGTTCTTCACGATTGAAACGCGATGCTCGTGTGGTTTCACAAACCCCAATTGACGCAAAGCTTCATGGCGACTTCGAAGAATCCGAAAGACAGTTTGACTACTCTACTTCCATTGACGTCAACGCATCAACTTCAACCAGCAATGTCCCTTCATCGACTGTATCAGCTTACCTTCAGAAAATGCAAAGAGGAAGTCAAATTCAGCCTTTCGGATGCATGATTGCAGTCGATGAACAAACCTTAAGCGTGTTAGCCTACAGTGAAAACGCCCTCGAGATGTTGGATTTAGCTCCACATGCAGTTCCAAACATCGAACAACAAGAAGCTTTAACTTTTGGAACAGATGTCCGTACCCTCTTTAGATCTTCAAGCGCATCCGCTCTTCAAAAAGCAGCGAACTTTCCAGAAATTAATCTTCTCAATCCTATATTAGTTCATTGCAGGAGTTCAGGTAAGCCGTTTTATGCAATTTTACATAGAAACGATGTGGGATTGATCATAGATTTGGAGCCTGTGAATCCCGCTGATGTCCCTGTAACAGCTGCTGGAGCTTTAAAGTCTTATAAGCTTGCAGCTAAAGCGATTTCAAGATTACAATCTTTACAAAGTGGGAATATATCCCGAATGTGTGATGTTTTGGTTCGTGAAGTGAGTGAGTTGACTGGGTATGACCGGGTTATGGTTTACAAATTTCATGAAGATGAACATGGTGAAGTTATTGCAGAGTGTCGAAAGCCTGATCTTGAACCTTATCTTGGGTTACATTATCCTGCAACTGATATCCCTCAAGCTTCAAGATTTCTTTTTATGAAAAACAAAGTTAGAATGATTTGTGATTGTTTAGCTCAATCTGTGAAAGTGGTTCAAACCAAGAATTTACCTCAGCCTTTGAGTCTTTCAGGGTCTGCTTTGAGAGCTCCTCATGGATGCCATTCACAATACATGGCAAACATGGGGTCCATTGCATCTCTTGTGATGTCTGTCACCATTAGTGATGGTGATTATGATGATGAAGAAGATGATGAGAACGAATCCGAAAGTGGGATAAATCAGCAAAAAGAAGAAAAGGGAAAAAGATTATGGGGTTTAGTTGTTTGTCATCATTCAACTGCTCGATTCGTCCCATTCCCTTTGAGGTACGCGTGTGAGTTTTTGATTCAAGTTTTCGGTGTTCAAATAAACAAAGAAGTCGAATTAGCTGCTCAATTACAAGAAAAACACATCTTGAAGACACAAACTGTACTTTGTGACATGCTTCTAAGAGAAGCACCAATTGGAATCATGACACAATCGCCTAATGTCATGGATCTTGTTACATGTGATGGTGCTGCTCTTTACTACAAAAACAAGTTTTGGCTTCTTGGAATCACCCCTAAAGAATCACAAATTAAAGATATAGCACATTGGCTTCTTCAAGAACATGAAGGGGGGACAGGGTTAAGTACAGATAGTCTCATGGATGCTGGATACCCGAATGCTTTAGTCTTAGGAAAAGCGGTTTGTGGAATGGCTGCTATCAAGATTACTTCAAAAGATTTTCTTTTTTGGTTTCGATCACATACTGCAAAAGAAGTGAAATGGGGTGGAGCAAAACACTATCCGGATGATAAAGATGATGGAAGAAAAATGCATCCGAGGTCATCATTCAAGGCATTTTTGGAAGTTGTCAAGAATAGGAGTTCACCATGGGAAGATGTGGAAATGGATGCCATTCATTCTTTACAATTGATTTTGAGAGGATCTTTACAAGATGATGAGGACAAGGGTGGTGATGATAATGATGATGATGATGATAATGATAAGAAGATTGTGAGTGTTCCAACCGTTGGATCGAGCATACAAAGGGTTGATGAACTGCGTGTTGTGACTAATGAAATGGTTAGGTTGATTGAAACCGCTTCGGTTCCTATATTTTCGGTTGATGGGTATGGAAATATTAGCGGGTGGAATGATAAAATAGGCGAAATTACCGGATTGCCATTGGACCAAGTAGTTGGTGTCCCATTGGTCAACTTGGTTGTCAATGATTCGATTGATAAAGTCAAAGTCATGCTTTCATCCGCCTTACATGGTAACCTTCTTTGTTCCTACTTTTAGTAATTTGTTTCTTTAATTAAGATTAGTACTTACATAACTATTCTAAATAATTCAATTGTTAAAGTAATGTTTGTCATTACCCAAATCTAAGTATTCATTTCTCAACAATTTAATGGAACATTTATGGTATTTGATTGTAGGCATCGAGGAGAAAAATCTTGAAATCAAACTAAAATGTTTCGGTAGCCAAGAAAAAAATGACCATATTACCCTCGTTACAAACGCGTGTTGTAGCCGCGATTTGAATGAAGTGATAGTTGCGGTATGCTTTGTGGGACAAGATTTAACGGCTCAAAAGTTAATCACGGACAAATACACAAAAATGAAAGGCGATTATTCTAGTATTATCCGTAGCCCGTGTCCACTTATTCCACCAATTTTCATGATGGATGAATATGGTAAATGTTCCGAATGGAATGAAGCAATGCAAAAAATTACGGGGTTACGGAGGGAAGAAGCATACAATCGTATGCTTATTGGTGAAGTTTTCACCGTTGGTAGTTTCGGATGTCGGGTCAAAGGCGAAGATTCTTTGACCCGACTCAGAATACTGCTAAACGAGGTGATTTCGGGGTTGGATGCGGATAAATTGATGTTCGGTTTTTTTGATCAAAATGGTAAGTATGTTGAAGCGTTACTTTCGGCTAACAAAAGGGTTGATAAAGATGGAAAAATTACGGGGGTTTTGGGGTTTTTACATGTAACAAGCCCCGAGCTTCAACATGCCATGATGGTGCAACGAAGGTCCACACAAGCTGCTTTGAATAGTCTTACAAAGGTGACCTACTTGCGCCATGAACTCAAGAGTAGTTTAAATGGGATCAAATGTATTGAGGATTTGATGGAATCATCGGAGTTGGGTAGAGAGCAAAGACATATTTTGCGTAAGAGCCATTTGTGTAGAGAACAATTAGCACAAATTGTCGATGATGCGGATATCGAAAGCATTGAAGAATGGTATGCTTTTTAAAATTTTATTTTACGGTTATGTTTTTTATGTTCGCAGACAATTTTCTGCAAAAAGGTTATTCTTCCAGCAAAGCAAATCCTGAGCTGGCCCACACCATCATGTCCCTAGAACATTAGGTGACAACAGCCTGGTAGGTGGATGGTACAAGAACCACCTAACAGACAGTTGTCACCTTGTCCTTTGGACATTAGGTGACAACTGTCTGTTAGGTGGTTGGTACAAGAGCCACCTAACAGACAGTAGTCACCTCAATGGGGACCGGTTGGTGGGGTGGTATATACTATAATAATATATACCTTTTTTTGGTACCTTTTTGTCTTTTATGGGTCAATTTGTGTGAATGATCTTTAATGTGTTGTTGTGATGTGTTTTCAGTTATACGGAGATGAAATGTGCGGAGTTTAAACTTGGTGAGTCTTTAGAGGTGGTTTTAAATCAAATCACAAGTTTGAGCCGAGAGAGGAAAGTGGAGGTGGTTTATGATGCACCCGATCAAGTGTTGTCTTTGTGTGTATTTGGTGATAATTTGAGGCTTCAACAAGTTCTTGCGGATTTCTTGTCAAATGCTGTCAACTTCACTCCTGCATTTGAAGGATCTTCGGTTGTGTTTCATGTAACTCACAAGATGGAACACATAGGAGCCAAGATTCAAGTCGCCCATCTTGAATTCAGGTGATTAATCTGTTAAATTATCTTAAATTATAATTCACAATCTGTTAACACAAAGAGTGTTTGTGAAATGACAGAATTACCCATCCGGCACCGGGGATCCCAGAGAAGTTGGTTCAGGATATGTTTCTCCATAACCGAAGTGTCTCAAGAGAAGGGCTTGGACTTTACATTAGCCAAAAGCTTGTTAAGATCATGAATGGAACTGTGCAGTATCTTAGGGAGGCTGAGAAAGCTTCTTTCATAGTTATGATTGAGCTTCCAATAGCACCCTCATTGACATCTGACAACAAACGATCAAAAAGAGTCGTATAACCAAAATGGGAAAGTTTGATTGGTGGAGTTTGTGTAATCTGCTTCGTTTTTGTACAGAAAAAAAGGGATGGTGATGAAGAGTTACATACAAAACCTTGAGGAGCTTCAAATTTGTCGAATTTGTTGTATCAAGAGATTTTGAATGATGTTTATGATGATGTACTATAGTCTTGTAATCCATTCTTTATAATTTTGTTTTTGTACATGATGATTACCTGGATCATCGCTTCAATCTCAGTCTCATTAATACCTGAAATGAATCGGTTAGCTGTAGTACATGTGGAATTTTTAATTTTTATAATTTTCTAAATCTATTTTTCTTTGTCAATACTTAGTTATTTATTTATTTAGTGATTAGTGAGTGATGGATTGTTAAATCGGAGTAGTTAAGAATAAGATGGTTGATGAAAATGAAAATTTAATTTGGTAGGATTGGGTAAGTGAGAGAATGTTGATTGTTACTTGTAATTAACTAAGAGCATCACAATGCATGGTGAATGGACGAGAGAAAAAGATGAGTTGACTTTGAACGTTGGTTTAAAGAATTGTGGGGATTGTGACATGGATTTGGATTGAATGAACATTGAAGTAAATGCCGGTGGGGATCGTGACATGGATTTGGATTGAATGATACCATTGAACCGGGATGAATGGAAATGACAAAAATGGCCCCATGATTTTTATGAATTATAAAAAATAATCAATATTTTGTTGTTTAAAATTTTGATCATTTGGTACGAAATGGGTAATTATCATTATTGAACCACTATATCTCGGAACATGGTTTCAGATTATCTCAAAGATTTCAACGAGACAAAGTATGGATTCACAATGAGAGGAGATGGTGAACCATCTGAGTTTAAACTTTAAGGTCTATGTTCTATATATCAGAATAACCAATAGAATGAAACTAATGAAAGATACACACAAAAATCAGGTTCATGGAAGAA